ATGTGTTTGCCCCAAGAGTTTGGTCACTAAAACAGAACATTTTAGGTGTCCCAAATGCATAAAAATGTAATCTTGATGCTTGATATCTACCCATGCATGAGTATTAGCTCCTTGTTAAAGTTGTAAAGTTAGGGCTTGGATTTAGGACCGATTGTGCCATGCAAAAGCTCAAAGTTATCGACTTTATGGGTTAAGGCATGATTTGGATCTAGTTTTGAGCATTGGACGTTTTGGCTTAAAGGTTTAAGACATTTTCTAGACGGGTTAAGAGCTGGCAGCGTACGCGGGGCATACCCCTTGGTACACAATGCGTACTGGGTCAACACCCCCGTGGGTTAGTCAAGATCTGGAGTACGTTGGGCGTACCAACTGAATACGCAGGGTGTACTCAGTCTGTTTGGTCTTCTTTGATTTGTTGACTCCTTGACCTTCGACCATTAACCAGAAGTTTGACTTGGGTTAACCAATGGATATTTTGGGCCTTTTAGGAAATTGGGCCTTCTTTGATTAGGCATGATGGGTTTTGGGCCCAATTTGGATATTAGGCCATATTGGGCCTTTGTTGCTTTTGGTTTGGGCTTTGGATTTTGGGCCAAGTGAGGTAAGGGTAAAATGGACTTTTAACCTGGGTATTGAGCAGCCAGACTAGGTGTCCAACTATGGGTTGAGTACCAATCATTTATTTGGTGTTATTTGATGTTGTTAGCGTGTGACTTTCTGGATCGGCAGTTCGAGCTTTTGTCTGTGATATTCAGGAGCTTGAGGTGATTCTCCTCACTATACTATGGGTCGAAGGCACCAATGTCATACCATTGGCTTAAGAGATACAGGAATAGCAGGGGGTGGCCCTTGACATTTGTATGAAATACCCAGAAGTGGCTCCTGGCAAATTGTATGCAAGACCAGGGATCGGACCTTGGCAAATAGATAGATAGTTTATGTATATAGATAGTATGCTAGTTGCCTTTGTGATGCTTGCATGGAAGACCAGGAGGTGGCTCCTGGCACTTGTCTATAAGACCCAGGGTTTTTGGCCCCCGACCTAGCAAGGAAAGACCATGATACGGCTCGTGGCATAATGGCAAGGCTATGGTTGGCACATAGCATTCTCTATTGTATGCATGGTATGTGGTATTTGGGGAACTCACTAAGCTTTGTGCTTACGACTTATTGTTTATGGTTTCAGGTACTTCCGGTTCAAAAGTGAAGGCCCGACGTGAATGCACTACATCCACCCATGTTTCCGCAATGTGATGATTTTGAGATTGTACTCTGATAACCGTTTTCTTATAAAGTACTTTTTAATATTTAGAAAAAGGATAATGAATGTTGACTTAAAGATAATTAATATTTTGGTTGAATTAAAAATTAATTTTTTACATAATAATTTTTGGGATGTTACAAAAATGAGCATAATTATAGCTAAAAATATTAAGATAATACACAAAATATATGAATAAATATGTAAAGATCACATATCAAATCATAAAAAAGGTCCATTAATACATGTGTACTGCCACCTCATCCTTATGACTAAATGACCCATTTAACTTCAAGAAAATGGTCTTATTTGCATAAAATTTAAAAGCTACACACTTACGATGAACAGTAATTGGTAGTGTAATAGATGAAGTTCAGTCAGCCTACGTGGAGGGCAGGAGCATACTTGACGGACCACTTATTGTCAATGAAATATGTTCTTGGGTCACAAAAACAAAAAGGAAAGTGCTACTCTTTAAAGTGGACTTCGATAAAGCGTTTGACTCTGTCAACTGGGAGTATCTTGACTCAATTCTCAATCAAATGGGATTTGGGAATAGGTGGAGAAAGTGGATTCGTGGATGTCCGTCATCTGCCCGTGCCTCGGTTATTATCAATGGTAGCCCAACTAAAGAATTCAAGCTCTCGAAAGGGGTGAGGCAAGGAGACCCTCTATCTCCGTTTCTATTCATTATAACAATGGAGGGACTAAATGTATCTATGAAGACTGCTGGTGAGAAAAACATATTCAAAGGGATAAAAATTTCAGGAATCGAAGAAAAAATATCGCATCTGTTTTACGCAGATGACGCGTTATTTGTGGGTGATTGGTGCAGATCGAATATGAAAAACTTAGCCCGTATCTTACATTGCTTCCATATGGCCTCTGGTCTCAAGGTAAATTTCGGTAAATCAAAGGTATATGGCGTTGGGGCATCGAGTTGTGAAACCGCATCTGCTGCTAGGATACTTGGCTGTGAGGCTAGTTGTCTACCTTTTACCTACCTTGGTGTACCCGTTGGGGCAAACATGAACTTGGTGAGGAACTGGCAGCCAATCATCAACAAGTTTCAATCCAAGCTCACGAGATGGAAGGCAAAAACATTATCTTTTGGGAGAAGACTAACCCTTATCACTTCTGTATTGGGTAATCTTCCCACGTACTATCTCTCGCTTTTTAAAGCTCCCCTAAGTGTAATTGAGAGACTTGAAAAGATAAGAAGATCTTTCCTATGGGGGGGGGGGGGGGGAAGTGATGAGAAAAATAAAATACACTGGGTGTCGTGGAACAAAGTCATTTGCCCTAAACATCTGGGTGGTTTAGGTGTTGGTTCCATTAGGGCGATGAACATTGCTCTACTGGTTAAATGGTGGTGGAGACTAAGGAATAATACATCAGCTTTGTGGAGTAAGATTATATGCGGAGTTCATAACCTGTCCAACAAACCGAAAGACTATCTCTCCAAGAAATCTCTCACTGGTGTGTGGAACAACATAGCACGTGTAAAAAATGACTTGGAATCTATGGGTATAAGTATTGATGACATATTTAGACAACATGTCAAATCTGGGAACAACACCCAGTTCTGGAACGATATTTGGATTGGATCATTAGAATTAAAAAAGGTATATCCTGCTCTTTATGATCTAAAGGCTCAAAAGAGATGTTTGGTGAAGGATAGAATAAATGTAACTGGAGGTACCAGTTGGTGTTGGAAGTCTAACCCATCAAATTGTGGGTTATACAATTGTCTATCGAGCCTTGTTCAGAATGTTGGATCAGTTCAGCTGCATCCTGGATCGGATTTTACATATTGCTCTATTGCCCCTGATGAAATTTATAGTGTTCCTATCCTCAGGCATTCAATTGAACTCAAAAATGCCAATAATCCTTCTCATAATTTGATCAGCTGGTGTAAGTTAATTCCCATAAAGGTATTGGGCTTCGTGTGGAGAGCAGTGCAAGGGCGTATACCTTGTGCTATGGCACTTATTAGAAGAAACATTCCTATTGATTTCGTTTTCTGTGGTCTGTGTGTAAATCAGCAGGAAGATGCTGATCATATACTCATCAACTGTCCGTACGCGAGTATGGTTCGGAGAAAAATTCTCAGTTGGTGCGGGATTGATGATATGGCAGTTAACACAGTAAGTGAGTTCATTGACTTTACTTCTAAATGAGGAAACTGTGTAAAACGAAGAAAAAGACTCACTGCAATTTGTTATGGAATGTTATGGGTTCTCTGGAAATCAAGGAACAACAGACTATTTCAAAGGTTTGTTTGTTTCCCTTCTCAAGCGGTCGAGAATACTAAGTTATTAGTTTATCTATGGCTCAAATGTAGGGGTAAAAAAGGAATTTGTAGTTGGGAGAGTTGGAATGTATCCCCCTTTTCTATTTCTTGATATGTAATTGTCTGTAACTCCTTGTCCCTCGTCTAGTTTCTTACTAGCGGGGGTATATTTATAAAAATTCTTGGCCGTTTCCAAAAAAAAAAACTTACGATGAACAAATTTTTTTTAGGGGTCATTTAAAACCAGCCCAAATAATTCGTTGGCTAATAATGACATAACTGTTTATTAGTTTATTTAGACTAATATGATCTGTTTTACTAAACATAACCAATTTGAAATCAAAACTAATAATTCGGTTTTGTTACAATGCAATCCAAAATTTGAATATATAAAAACCATGTAGTTAAATCAAAATGATCCAATTGTGGAATTCTGTTTTATTCACATAGTCAATGACCATTTTATTTAAAGGAACAAAAATAACGAACACTTGAAACACCATTTACACGAGCTAGTTGAAAATCATTTAAAGAAAACAACTCCAATGTTTAAAATCTCACATTTACGGAAAAATAAGGTCCCAATACTTTTAAAGTATTTTATATTATCAAAAATATGCTAGGTAATATTCAATTTGTAAAAACCAGAAATATAAGTAACTATCACATGTTAATAGCCTTCAAAAAGTCCATACAGCTAACCACATGCGCTCCTAGCCACGATGTCAAACTCAATGTTCACGAAATGATGCGATGTAGGTGCACTTTGTACTTGTTGAAGCTTCTAGAAGCCTCCACAATCGATTAAGGTTTGATGCGATGTGTAATGTCAACAAAAAATGTTCAACCAACACGAACTAAGGGTAAATTGAAAAAAAAATCTTTAAAATAAAACAATACAAAACTACAAACATATTTCTTGTGAGTTGAACTTTAAGGTAACCTAAAATTCTGTTATGTATGATAATAGGTAAAAAGGAGAAAAGTAGAAAATTTAATGAAAGAAATAAGGTAAAATTAGAAAAAAAAAGTCAAATGTGGAAAACTTGTGGGTTTTGTAACATTTTCCCTTCCAAATATGAAGGGGTTGCTCTGGTATGTATATCGTTCCTTTCTGGTGGAAAATTTCTTTTTTCAAAATTTACCTTCCTTATTCAAAGTCCGATTAAACTTGGTTCTTTTAGAGGTTGATCTTCAACCATAGATTTCTCTATTTGAATTATTGATCTTCTTTTATAAGTTGTCCACATAAACCGTTTATTTTATCTTCGTCAAAGATTCTTTTATTATCTTTCTTTCTTTGATCTCTCCCACTATCTCTTTGTTGCTTTACACAAGAATCTATCTATTTTTCGTTGTGAAAAATATACCTTATGTTACCCTTTCTAATATTCTCCCGTTCTTTTCTTCCTCAAAACAATTAGCATATTATCTACAATGATGCCATTGTCATTGTTCTTCTCCCCATCTCTCATTTCCCATTTCAGAGTTCGTCTTTTCACATTCTTGAGATCACGGTGCCCAAAGTATACATACTTTCCACAACCTACTAGTCATGTCTTCTTCAAAGAAACCCTCATTCTATTGGAGACGAAATACTCAATTTATTGGATATGAAAGTAAGCTATCGCGCCCCCCTTCTAGATCCCTGGTAAATACCATATCCCTTTTTAATATATAT